AACTTAACAGCTTTAATTGCACTGTAATGCATTTAGTGCATTGGATGTATGTGTGTGGGGGCTCAAAAGGTCAAACAAGGCCATATTATGGTTAACAATATAGTATGCTTGTCTGTGAAGCTCACCTATAGGTTAGAACACATTAGCAAAGCTATTCAATGTCTTCATGGATTTCCCGTAAAAATTCAAGACAAAATTGCGGTCAGAGTTCCCAAGTCAGTTGGATTAAATGGGACGATCAGGAAGAGTTATTAAATAATCGATACAGCCAGGTCAAGCTATTCAGTGTTCTTTGTTATTGAAGCGTTACATCTTATTGTTTTAGGAATAGATGTTACTAACAACGCAAATCAGAGTATGTTACGGCAGCACGATTAATTGTATTTTAATTGTGATCACGACTTCTGCTTCTTTTGAGTTAAGCATAATTAAGCATAAACCCTACGATATTGGCCCATTGGTTATGTTTATGTTATTATGTTTTTTTTCTTATATGATGTTTCTGTTAAATATAGGTAACAAGCCTCCATGTGCTTTCATGCTTGGTGTTCCCAGATGTTAAGAGTTAGAGCTTTTCTTCTTTCTCATTTTCTGACTAGTGCTTTACTTAATTTTCACAACCTGGCAGCCCTGCATTGTTTTAACACCATGCACACAATTTGTCTTCTTGAACAGGATTAAATAATCAAACGTTAAACTAGCTTTTCACTTGCCTGACACATTTAAGCTAATATTTCATAAGCAAAACAGTATGTTTGCATGCTCATTTTCATATTCTTGAGATAACTGTTGTACTTGCTGCTCTTGCTTTTGGGTCACCACAACCTTTGGCTGAACTGAAGCATCTGTGAGCTGCTATAAACAGCGGAAATAATGGTTATCAGAAAAAAAGTATTATTTTTTTAACCCATTCAAGCCATCAATTTGATTTAACTTTCTAATGGATGAATACTAAAGGTTATACTTCATAATGTCTATTTATGGTAAGGAAAGACAAGTGGCCTAATTTGGGAGTGTCTTTTTGACTGTTATGAGTAACGCAATTATCTAATCTCTGCTCTACTGTGCATTTCGGGTGAAACTGCATAAAGCGGGATTTTATACTTTTGCCTGGCTCCGCTTCGCGAGCCTCCGCGGACTGCACGCGCACCTTCCCAAATGGATGAGGCTTTTATACTTGTCGCGTTCGCCGTTGTACTATTCTTTGAAACGACAGGGGGCGACGAGGAGTAATTGTCCTCTAAAACCATCGGGAATCACCGGTAAGAAGATGTCATTTGCCAATACAAGACTTCTCGTGTGATGAATGAGTTGATGAATTAATCATTTCTTTATGTACAAACTGCTGAAAATAATCTTAAACTTTTGGGTTTATTTTGCATCAAACACAAGACAACTTTAAGCAAATAGTATCTAAATTAATTGTAATTCTGTTTTTATACAAAAAATAAAACGCACTTCAATTAAAAAGCCTTGGACAAACTAGGCAAAAAATTAAAAAACTACACATTGTTTTCCCTCAAAGCGTCAAAAAGCACCTGATGGAATTTGAACTTCACATCAAACTGCTTCTGTTTCACACAAATGCCGGCACAGACGTGCATGTTCGGCTAGATTCACCCTGAAGTCGTGCATCTTCGGAAGCGGAGCTGAGCGGAAAGTTAGGCTGGCCGCACACTAGACGATTTTCAAATCTTAAACTATTTTATAACCATGGGAGACCGCAGACATGAAGACAGTTCAACCGATTTTTAGCCACACACTTGATGATTGTAGGAACGATTTCACAGTGACACGTGATCTCACGGACACTCGCGAGATCAAACGTGACTAGAGAAGAAAAACAAATAGAGGACAATCAACGTTGTCAGCTGGCTCTCCTGGCACGTGTTATGTTTCACAGTGATAAACAAAGTATAGAAAAGAATACGGGTGATGTATTCTGCTTTCATGGCATGTTTGTGGCTGCCAAGTTTCAGCTATAGAAGCACGCAACATCCGGTAGGTATCCCCAATCGTTCGGGGGTGCAAATCGGGCTTAAAATCGGCCTTAAAATTGTCTAGTGTGCGGCCAGCCTTACAAAAAATGCCGTGCACACCGCCACGGGAAATGAGGTCGCACGCACTCAAAGCGAACTTCCACCAACACCGCGATGACGTTATATTTTCCGCGCGCACCCAACCAAACGTTTTTTTTTGTTATTGAACTTTTAAAGTTACAAAATTCCACAGCAAGTTCTTCACATATTTCTCATATTTACACATTTTGTAAGTACAAATTGAGACAATTGTAATAAAATAAAAAAATAAAAAATAATAATTAAAAAAAATAAACAAAATAATAAAAAAATTTTATTAAATGAAAATTTTTTTTTTTTTTAAAGACTATAGATTCTAAGTAAGCTCAAATGAATATGACTTTTCTAAAAGGAAAATATTTATTATTGATCTGTTTTTGTTATTAGGGAAATTTTATATTAAACTTAAAACCCAATTTCGCTCATTTTCAAGCACCCAAGTGAACTTGCTGACGAGTCGAGTAAAAATCAGCCTTAAGTGTGTCATATGCAGCGTACAGGTCAATAATGTTATTGTTTAATATAAATATAAGTGCAGACAATTGTTCTACAGTCAAGGCTAAAATGGACAAAGAGTTGGATGTTAATGCTTCAAATACACAGTCAAATCCAACCCTAGATAACACTCATCAGATAAGGACTCTCCTCTAATGTAAACAGACCGCTGTTATCCCATTTACAAACCCTTCTGTAAAATATATGAGTCTACAAAAGTTTTAAGATTATTATAATAACAACACACATGGCCAAAACATTAAACTGATAATTCAACAAGCCCAATGATTTCCACAATGTGGAAAATATGGATGGAATTGTGGATTGTCACAAGAATTTTAGATTTATAAATAAAAATTATGCAATGTTTTGTTGTGAAGAAATTGGTAGGTTTTCATTTGATTACATTTTAAAAGGTTGATTAAATTATTTTTATGAATTAATGGTGTTAAAAACTGTATGTTTTTTTTTTTTTTTTTTTTACAATAAATCTACATAAAATCATAAAACACAATTAAAAATTAAAGAGTTTAGGTGGAGGGAGGAAATAAAATTGATTTTAAATAACCTTAATATTATTGTTTAAAATTTACATTGATTAAAGTTTTAGCAATTCAATTGATCTATAGCATGCTTTTTGATAATTGAAATTAATTAAACCATTAATACCACATCCAGAAAAAATAAAACAGAAAATGCAGAATCACAGAATTGATCTAAATGATGCTTTTGATCCAGTATAGGCTACTAAATAAATGCTGGTTGTTGAGTACATACCAGAGGGACTGCAGTATGCTAAACACTGGCATTTAGCAACATGTGGTGTGTGAAACCTTTGCAGCCACTAGTTGACCGATGACAGTGAAGAGTTTTTCTTGGACACTGACTATAACTATTACGATAAACCCTTTTTCCAAACAGCGCAATCTACCTTGACCACAGAAAAAACATTACAACGTAACAGCTCGGCAACTCATCTAGAATTCCAAGTTTCCCATTTTTAAATATGCTTTTTCCTCGGTCACTCATGTGCTTGGAACTTACGATATTTATAACTCCACATGAAAAGAACATAAAACACAGCAGTTTTAAAATTCATGATTATAACGATAGACTGTACGTCATTTATGTTGTAGGACAAAACGTAAATGTTAACCATAGGCCTTATTTTACTAAAACTGCTATAAAAATCCACAGGAAATTCCCAAGGGAACCCACAGCTTGAAATTTCTCTTCCAGGGTTGTAGAAAAGCAAACTTACCATTTCTATAAGACTGAAACCACAGCCATAACGAATCCATTAGTCATATCCAATAAACTAAACATTTTTGAACAATTAAAGTGGGGTGGATTCAAACTGAAATAACCTCACATATCAGGTACAAGACAGATCAGTCGCCATGTGGCTGGGCAGAAAAAGATATAGAAAATTAGACTCATGGTATGAAGGAATGATGCTATTATCTTTTTTTGCATATGATTAATCGGCTTGTTTTAAAAACCATATATTCTTGGTTGTCTCTCACCTTCTTGCAATACATTCCAAACAACTATCAAAGCAAATGTACACCCTTACACAAAACCTTTACCTTGAAATGTCAACAGATGCACTGAGAAGATCTACAGCCTGGTACTTTGGATCACACACGCAGTTTTGACGACCCAGTGAGGGGTTTGCAAATACTACACAATCCCCCCCCAAAAAAGCATGGAAAATCCCTATAACTCAAAGCTACTTACTGTCTTTCCATGGAGTGTTCATCCAGGGTTTATGTCAAAACTTAACAAGCTACTGTCGAACTATGCAACCCAAACCCGATCCTCTAGACTCCTACAGAACACCAGCACCTGAACTGGAGCACATCCACCCATCAAACAGCAGAATAGGGGATTTCATATGAATATTAGCATCGTCTGACTGGATTGGCCAAGGGTCCGGTGATCCCAAGATCCCAAAACAGAGTGTGCTGCCTATAGACAGCTTTTTTGAGCATTAGAGACTCGTGAGATAGACATGATGCCCCAAAACGCTGTCTAGGTAGGCAGCACACTAGGTTTTGAGAGCCAGCCCATCTGAATGTGACAGTAACCTATGGACATATAATAATAAACAGCCATCTTAGACATCAATCGGGTAAACAAATCTATATGAGAGCTGCATATCCAGGAAGAAAGTGGAGTTTCCCCGTTATAGCTAAATGTAGATCATAAAGTATTGCCAAATAAAATAAAACCGAGATTTTATGACGGATATTGACCTGCTGACATAGACATTCGGCTTTAAAACGATGAACTCTGCACAAATCCTACTGCATTACTGAAAGTCAATATAGTGTCGTATACGGCGGATACTGTGGATAAAAAAAACCTTTTAGTTTAAGCCCGACACATTCATCATAGTCATCTGTAATTGCACGGGCGTTTTACCTTCTGTCTTCGTGTAGTTTAGCAGGCAGATATAAGAATCAGCTGGTCCGTCGGACGCGTTGTGAAGACGCCATTAGTCTGAGTATTTCCTAGTGCTGTGCTGTACAGACAGCGGAGTCTGTATGTCTATAATGTGTATGTGTCTCTGAAGCAATAGTATCCACTAGCGCTCTCTGTTGGGTGCAACACAAATTATTATGGTGCTCTTGAAAACAGACTTTGGGACGGCTCCAAATGATATATAACAGTTTCTGGGAGGTGTTGAGGTAATATTACCTTACGTGATGGTGTCAACCTGAAGTGAATTCTGTTTAAAATATTGTTAATTTTATACAGATTTAGCTTTATCTGAATGGAGGGAATATTTTAAAGTGAAACACAAAATCATATTGCCACTATTCATCAAGGACATGTTTTTTGCTAGATACCTTAGTTGGATATTACAAAAGACTAACAGAATTAAATGTGAAATATATAGGCTACCTTAAAAGGATAGTACACTCAAAAATGAAAATTTTGTCATCATTTAGCCTACTCACCCTCATGGCGTCCCAAACCTGTACAGGTTTCTTTCTTATGTTGAACATAAAGGAAGATATTTTGATGAATGCTGGTAATCAAACAGTTAATGGCCTCCATTGACCCATAGTATTTCTTTCCCTACTATGGAAGTCAATGGGGACCAACAACTGTTTGGTTCTTTAAAATTCTTCAAAATATCTTCTATGTTCAACATAAGAAAGAAACTTAAACAAGTTTGGAACGACATGAGGGTGAGTAAATGATTCATGTTCATTTTTGGGTGAACTATTCCTTTAACAACTATTTTCAAGAAAACATATTTTAGAATATTTCTTACTGCCAGTTTTGGCAAGTAGAAACATTATTTTAAAATCACCACTAATTTGACTTTGTGATAAAATAAATCTTACTATTATGATTTCCATCTTTTTTTATTTTTTATTTAATTATTAGTGTTTTTTTTTTATACTAGGATATAGCCTATATGGTGGGGACATAAAAATGTACTCCATACCAAGGATTAAATATTAATGAGCAATGAAAACTTGAAGACTTTAAAGAAATTTAAGTTAATAAAATCAATAACATCTTTTTAAAAGATAGCATTGTGTATGCCTATTTCATCTTAAAATATGACACTTTGGGCAGTTGGAACAGTTATAAAATCAGATGTACAGTAATAAGATTTTGTCAAAAATATTTATTTTTAAAAATAAAGCAATACAATATAATACGTTACATTTCACTTTAAAATGAAAAGATTCCCCCCCCCTATAGATTTCATTTTCAGAGTGCCACAATGACTTTCACTATATTGCAAGTGCCTCAAAGCTTTTCATTTCTAATGGGGTTACCGGAGAAATTAGTCTTTTGTAAGTTCTCCAATATTGCGATCTGAGGAGCATCAAACTAAATAGTCAATTCTACACTATGGCAATTAAAGCGTAAGCTGTGCTGAAGTCTTAATGCTAATTAAAAGTGCTTTCATGCTTTCAAAGTTAATCAAACTCTGCAAACTGATAATTTATCAATAATTTTTTTCAAAGATCACATAAAAACAATTACTACTAAGAATGTCAAGATAAAGACAACCATAGCACAGTCAAATTTAACAAAATACTTCTGGTTATGCAAATATTTCACATGAAAAGCAAGCATAACATTATACAACTCATAAAAATCATACATACAAAATCTTATCTATCTATATACAAATATATATATATAAAGTACATATATATAGTATAAGTATTTCAGTGCAGTAGACTCTCTTAAAAATAGTGAAAACAGACATTTACGCACCAATGCATCCAACCAGCTTTTGGAGCCGTATTGTAACTTCTGTAACTATATTGTACAATTGTTTATTACCATATAAATTCAATCAGGTCTCAATGTAAACACAGGCTAAAAACAGCAATATTAAAACAGTTCACCACTCCAGTTTCATATCTGCTTTGCTCCACATATATTTCCCCCCTCTTATGAGAAACATCTTCTCATCAAAACCACTAAACTTGATGGCCTCTTCCACACCAACATCCAGAATGGACTTTGACGGATCCTTCCTCCCCTCTCGACAATCCAAGAAGCGCATCTGCGGCATCAGATATGAAGGATTAAAAAATCTATTTATGATGATTGCTCTTTCTGATGATGTAGCGTAGACAGCATGATTATTAATAGAGATCAGAGATTATCAAGGGAGGGAAAAGTAATTTGAAGCCTGGAATGAGGCAAATTACTGCAGGCCTTATTATATTCCTATCCATAATCCCTTCACTTCTGATATGATGACATAATGTAATTGAAAAGAATCATTTACACTGCAATAATAGTGTAATCTAATACAGAAAAAAATTCTTTAGACACTATGACAACATAATCGAATATATAAAAAAAAAATCCTTCACATGGTAATGAGAAGAAAACTTAATGGATGCTGAGAAGAAAATATGAAACCACTTACATATTCATCAAGAATCAGGTAAGAGTCTCTCATCTGTAAAATAAAAATAGATGAGTAAGTAAACAATTCATATCAAGTTAACAGTAGGCTTTATATTCAAGTCCCTGGCACCTATGCTATTTTTATTTAAATTCAAATCTCGCCGTGCACACTTATAAGTCGTATAAGCTTTGGTAATGAATTGAAACTGAAAGTTTACTGCTGTATTACCCATAAATTGAAGCCACTTTATCTTCCGAATTTAAACGCTGATCTGAATTGAGCGAAAGTATGCGCTCTGTGCCTCAAAATTACCTTTTGATTAGACTCCGGAACCAGACACTTAACGCTCTGGTGGCGGTCCAGGAAGTCTTGGAATTGCTGATCGCTAATGATGAATTTCTCTGCCTCGCGGAGACTGTTCTCCCCAGCGTTTTCACCTTCAATTATCAGACACTGGAAGACCTGTGTGTACATTGCAATACAGCCTTAATAACGTGGTCAGCAGCCTGGTTAAAATGATAGAGTCTGCAGTAATGAAGTAACTGTACCTTCCAGCGCACTGGGTTCAGAGCAGTGATCTGCTCGGTCATATCTTCATCCACATTGTAGGTGTTAATAACTGAGTTGATTTTGAAAGCCACCTTATAGTCCCGGCACCAGTCACGAACTTGATGCAGTTTGCCCAGATGACTCTTTCTGCCCTGACCTCGACCTATGACTTTATTGGTGTCCTCGTTAAAACTGTCACAAGATACTGCCAGGATGTCCAAGTAGTCACCTATTAAATACAGATACAATTTAAATTTGTACATTTGTATGCAAATACCTTTGATATAACAATGTATTTTTTCTGTAATGTAATTAGTAATGTATATATTCTGTTTATATAGTTTAAAAGTTTGAGGTCTGTGAGCTTTTTTTTCTAAATAAGTTTTAATGCTCACCAAGGTTGCATTTATCAAAATAAAAAATAAAACATAGTAATAACATGAAAGATTTGATAAGAACATGTTTTCTATTCTAATATATTTTAAAATGTAATTTATTTGTGATGGCAAAGCTGTATTTTCAGCTGTCATTACTTCAGTCACATGATAAGTAATATGTAATATGCTGATTTGGTGCTCAAGAAACATTCCTTATTATTAATGTTGAAAATAGTTGATATGTGCTGCTTAATATTTTTTTGGGGACATATTCAAGATTCTTCAATGAACAGAAAGTATATGCATTTTTTGTAACATTTTAAATGTCTTTTACTTTCACTTTTAATCAATTGAATGCATCCTTACTATTAGAAATTAAAGTATTAATTTTATATATAAAAATATATTGTTATTATTATTATTATTAAAATATAAAATATTCTAAAAATCTTACCGACCCCAAACTTTTGAACGGTTAGTATACGGTGCAAATTTTAATTACATTTTTAGCTTACCCATATTTCACAACTATTCGTTTACTTATTGTGTACTCTGTTAGTTAAATCCCCTTAAGCAAAATACTGAAAATCATTTTTTGTTCTATTGTATGTGATTTTGTTGCTAGTGTTTTGAAACACAAAAAAAGGTCACGTTACTGTACATTTGACAGTGCAATAAAGCATCTCACATTAACAAAATATAACCTACTTAATATTCTTAATTATAAGTGGGCTTTTCGTGGAGCTGTAGCTAGGCCTATATAATAAACGTTGTTATAGCCTAGGTATTTCCTAGTATTATTAACTCTACTGACGTGAAATATGTGTAAGGTTAAAGCCAAAGAGTTTAAAAGCAATCTTTGCTGCCCTCTGCTGGTCATGAACGACTCTCACCGTATTTCTGGAACCAGGTTTCTCTGATTAGACTGCCATTGCTAACGATGCTGACGCTCGGCAGCTGCAGCTCCTGTTTGCAATATCGCACCAGCTCTCCCAGAAAATTACCTCTCTCGTGAAGGAAGGGCTCTCCACCAGAAAAGTTGACTTTTTCCATTCCTAAAACATACAATCGATAATATTAAAACAGTGTGAGAATAAAAATGACAGTCAGCTTTAAGAGAAAAAAGTTAACTTTTGTAATGTAGCCTAATCTTTTTGGTAACATTAGCTACATTATCGTTTACTGTCGTTTATTATTAGAAATTAACCCGTTTAATCCCAAATTTTTCCCAGACATGAAAATATCCAAATGATGTGTCATTAGTAACCCTTTGAAATAATCAATAATTATTTTATGAAAAGTGTGTGGAAAATTGTGTTTTATGGTCGGTCACAATTGTGACCGGTGGGATAAATTGAGTACTGAATTAACATATTTCTGCAGTCATAAAAATTGTTATACATCTTAGCCCAGCTATTTTAAACTGTTTGATCACATTCTAGGGTTATTATTATTATGCATAAAAAAACTTTATGCAACATTGATAGGAACACTGAGATAAAAAAATAAAAAATCAACCATCAACTCATTTCAAAATTTTTACTTTTTTGTAAAATATAACATAAAATTTTTATACTAGTGCTACCAGTATTACAACATCAATATTGTAATTTTTTTGTAACTCTGTGTGAGATATGTGATTGTTGTCATATTTCTATAAAAATCTAAAATACATGTTTGTATTAAAGTAAAAATGGATGATAAATACGCCTTTCGTATGGAATTAAATAGCAAGCACTTTGAGTGTCTTGTTCATCATATTTATTTTCATATAAAAGTATCAGAACTGAAATTATATCATGTTTATAAGCAACACAGCACGTGAGTGAGAATAACGCGATATCTGCCTTTGATCTCGTAGGTATCTGTTCCACTTCGAGAGGGCAGAACTGTCCGTCTTGACTGCGCTTATTTCACTCCTCCCCTCACTGCAGCTGCCTACTCTCGCCTACATTTCAGGCGAGGCGCATCTCAAACAAGCCTATTATCTTCTCAAGGTGCAAACAGGAAATAAACTGTTCTGGTCATGTGACAATTTGCACTAATCACGTGAAACTGCACATATTTCATTGAGACCCTTTCTTTTTTCCATATTTGCAGGAAGTGCACTAAAAAATCAGTCAGTAAGGTTTTTAGAGCTTTATAAATGAAAACTTTTTTACGGTCACTATTGTGACCGGTGGGATTAAACGGGTTAAGTAGCATGCATGGATGCATGCATAAATAACTAACTAACAAAATAAACAAACATAGGCTACCCCGTTCGATTGTGGTGTAAATTTTAGAGCTTTAAGTTAAATAGAAGTAATTTTATTTTAAGTTAAATATATTTGTACAACTTATCGTACACTCTCGCATTAGTAACTGTTAGGCTACCTGCTTCTTTCAGAAGTCGTAAGCCTCGCTTTGCCTCTTCAATGGGCAAGACGAAAGAGGTCTTTGCAGTGTGGAAGCAAAATCCGCATTTGTAATTGCACTGCCGGGTAAAGTGGTAGTTTACACTGCTTGGAGTAGTCAGCTGAGTGCTGGAGCCCTCTTTCTGCTCTTTGGTGCGAGTCTTCAGGCGACTGATCCTTCCGACAGGTGTTTGTTGCACCTGCGTGCCAGATACCAGCATAAAAATCCATCCCAACAGGGCTGCTAAGAAGCTGTGGACGTTCTTGAAACAAAATTGCATTAGCATTGCTGCAAAACCAACTTGGTTTGATGTGAACATGGTGAAGGTGTCTAGAATGAGGCTCTGAGAGCTCATACCTCCCTATTTATACGGGGCAGTCTCAAGTTGCTTTTCTGATCAGTTTCTTTTCTTGCTTGGGAGGACTGGAAAACGAAAGACGCTTAGAAAGCATACTATCATCTGAGTCAAACGTAGGCTAGGCGTGGTGTTTTATCTTCTTTATAGTCACCTGGATGTAACTGGATCGTTATGTTTTTCTCTTTAAAACACGGGGCAAATTAGCTATTAAGATACAGCCTAGGTTTCATCTCATTGTCATTCTTAGAATATGAATAATGATAGGCCTATTAATAATTGATATTTAGGTCTTGTCCAAACATTTCAACATTGACAACAACAAAAGCAATAGCAATTAGGCTACTGCTGCTTTAGCCAAATAGATATTCATTAAATCGTATGTCAACATAAATTTGTCAACAATTGACAAGTCCTACAGCACAGTTATTCATTTTAATAAGCATTAACAAGCAAATATTAATGGAATGGAAAATGTATGGACAAACCTGCTTGAAACCAACCAATCTTGCTGGTCTGGTTCAACTAGCATATGTTTACAGAAAATGGCAATTTACACCGAAACTTTGTAGATTAATTGCTTAGGTTATGTAATCTGATTGTTGAAACGAAACTGCAATAAAGTAGCTACTTGATCCTAATTGCAGTTTATTTCTCCGTGCACTGGCTTGACAGACTCAGCTTGTTTAGTGAATTACTTTCGTTTTCGGATCTAAGTTTCGTTTCTCTGTAAGCGCTGTTCTCCAGATCAGCAAGAATGACATTTCTCTAGACATATATACGCTAGTGTAATATCTATCACGGTTCACAATGCTAAAGAGAGCAATGTTTCGCTGTGGACAGCTGAGTTCGCGAGTATTCGCGGTGGAGTTTGATTTACGCACTCAACCTCTTTATTTCACGCTGAGCTCAAACCCACAAGAGCTTCATCATGCTCATCGGCAGCTCTTTGGAGATGATGGGAAGCTCTTCTCGCTACATGTCCACAGTGACAGCAGAATTGAGAAAGCGCAAACGCACGCCGAGATAAAACACAAGCTGTCCGTAACACTGTCGCGAGATTGCGATGTTTTTGAATCGTCTTCTTTTATACCGGACGTCAAAAATAGCGTCGTTAAAGGATTTTTCATACGAGACAAATCCACTACAACCCTCTCAGAGGACATATTAAAGACGCTGCAGCAGAGTAAATCAGTATGTGTGTTTTCATACAAGCGCGAGGGTCAGTACTGCTGGCAGGAGCTGTGGTCACCTGTCGATCAAGTACAGGAGTCAGTGAGGCAGTACATCACACCTGCAGCAGCAGCAGAGCACGTTGTAATACCTATGTCATACCCATGTCATTATACAAATTTGTGTCCTCATAAATCACAAAAACGCACACACACACATGAAGACATGCATGTCTTTTCTGTCCATTATAATTAATTTAATGCACCATTGCTGAATTCCATATTTATAATAATAGGAAATGTTTCTTGAGCACCATATAAGTATATTAGAATGATTTCTGAGGAGTCATGTGAACTGAAGACTGGAGTAATGGCTGCTGAAAATACAGCTTTGCCATTACATGAATAAATGATACCTTAAAATATAATAATAATAGAAAATATTTCATTTAAATTGTAACAATATTTCATAATTCTTTTTAATGTATTTTAACCAATTAAATGCAATTAAATCAGAGACTTCTTTCAAAAACATTTATAAAATCTGCCAACTCCAAACTTCACTGTGGGAACTAAGCACTTCTCACTGTACTTCTTCCCTTAGCAATGCAATATCATTTTGAATGCTGTTACATCCAAAAGGATTGACTTGGTCTCATGAGACCAGAGTTCCCAGAAGTATAACTGTCACTCTTTTCATTGCTTTTACCATCTCTGCATCACTTGTTTTGTATTTGTCTGCTCTTTTCCTTGCTAAAAAAGTGCTCATCATGAAATGAAAGCTAAAAAGTGAAGGCTTGGTTATTTCAGGAACTTTGTCAAAAGTCCATTGTTTTTGAATTTCTTTTGAATTTTTTTTTAGTATTCCTCTTGTACCACGGTCCTCTTTTGTGCAAAAAAACAAACAAAAGTTTTTGGCTTTATTTTGTAACTTTCAGGACAGTGTACTCATTTTTGCAACACAACATTTTATCACTTTGATAAGAAAAATATTATTTTCATGATATCTCCAAATATCTCCAAATGTCTTAAGAGTAATTGCTGGTTGGCGCTGATAGCCTTGTGGGCAGTGTGCCAACATACAGCCCCATTGTGCTTCAGGCATCCCGAGTTCGAATCCTGACTCGAGGACTTTTCCCAATCCTGCCCCCCTCTCTCTCTCCCACTTCAGTTCTGATCTGTCCGAAAAGGCCAAAAATAAATCTTATAAAACGAGTAATTGCTGAATTTGTTAAGTTTCTGAGGGGTTGTACACATACACTACTTGAAAATAGTTATAATACTTAAAAGTTAAAAAAGTATCTAAAAACCAGTTTTAAAAGTATACCTGTGTAGACTGTTTTACTTTGATGCTAAAATTAAAGTGTATAGGCTACCTAATCTAAGGTAACAATGAACATTGGGTTATTAATTAATCAATGTAATTCAGAACCTAACCACAATGCAGTTTGATGTAAAACAATGCATCTTTCTGCCCATCTCAGTGCACTGACATTATCCCTGAGTCAAAGGAAGTGCTGAAGCTTGTAGACGAACAGTTGGAGACAAGCAGGGCTGATGGATTTCCTGTCATTGTGATCGAGGGACTGGATGCCACAGGTTAACAATGAGCCTTTGATAAATACTTTATTCAGCTAATTAATAAGTATGCATTCAAACACAATATATATATATATATATTTTTTACCAAGCAGAACGTAATGTCACATACACATTCATAGCTTCCAATATAATAAAAAACATAAACAAACAAAAAGTTTGACCTCTAAAATTCTGTTGCTTTCTCTCCATGTGTTTCTCCATGTACCCAGGTAAAACTACTCTCACAGAAGCCCTGCGGGAGTCTCTGAATGCTACTCTGCTGAAATCTCCTCCCCAGTGCCTGGCTCCTTTCAGACAGCGCTTTGACTCAGAACCACCCCTCATCCGCAGGGCCTTTTATGCTCTGGGGAACTACATCACTGCTGCCCACATCGGAAAAGAGTCCTTGAGGGCTCCTGTCATAGTGGACAGGTAGAGATGTGTGCGCCACAAATACACTCACATGCTGTTTGGGCAGGAATGTAGCAAATATATGTTCTAAAGCTGACTTTGTGGAAAGTGAGGCTCAGTCAAATGTAAATTGTTATCTGAGAATACTTTTAAGTATATAAAACTATCAGATTTCATTAATGTTTGTAATCAGAGCAGTATTTATATGGCACAAAAACAATAAGGATATCCATTTTGGGTGGAATATATCTTTAACAGACTAGAATTGATCAGATTGGTTTACACTACACAAACGTCACTGTTAGTAGAAAACGTTAGTAGTAGCATTTCTACTTACAGTTAGTTCGTTCCCCAACACGATTATAGACAACCCCTCCCCCCACTTTTTTGTCTCTGTTAGGTACTGGCACAGCACAGCAGCGTATGCCATTGCCACAGCAGTTGGTGGAAGAGTTGAAAACCTCCCAAAGCCAGGCTCAGAGTTGTACCGGTGGCCAGAAGACCTGCTCCAACCAAACCTGGTGCTGCTCCTTACTGTTTGTCCAGAAGAAAGACTGAGAAGACTCAGGGACAGGGGACAGGACAAGACCGTTGAGGAGGCTGAACTGGAGATCAATCAGCTCTTCCGACTTAAGTAAAACTATATTAATAAATGAATGATGAAATTTCTCTTTTCAAAAAAATCCGTGCCAACCCTATTCACAATGTTTTGGGGTTAAATATAAAGGGGGGATAAAGACTTTTTTTTTTATCATGTGGTCAAAGAATTTATGATGTCACCCCTTCAAATATGATATCAGAATGAATATAATGAATATATTAAATAATTAATATAATTTTGCAGGAATACAGGTTTGAACAGAAAGTGTAGGAACAATGACAAATTTGCATTTTAATTTCAATAATAGCAATATTTTTGGTAGCATTTGTTTTTAAAATTGTATAGACTGCCATTCAAAAGTTTGGGGTTGGCAAGTTTTTTTTTTTATACATAACTTTTATTCAGCAAGAATGCATTAAATACTTTCACATTGATATTTCAAATAAATGCTTTAAAAAAACTTTTTATTAATAAATAAATAAATAAATAAAATAAGCAGCTGTTTTCGAAATGTATAATAATAAGAAATGTTTCTTGAGCATCAAATCAGTGTATTAGAATGATTTCTGAAGGATCATGTGACACTGAAGACTGGAAGCTTTGTCATCACAGGAATAAATTACATTTTAAAACATAGTAAAATATAAAACAGTTATTTTAAATTAAAATAATATTTCACAATGTTACAGTTTTTAACAGATTTATTTTTTTTACCAAATAATTGCAGCCCTAGTGAGTTTAAGAGACTTTTTCACAAGCAAATATTAATATCAAATATCAAATATTAAATATTTAATATTAATATTAAAATATAAAAAAACTGTATTTTATTTTTACTTTTGTATTACAAGAACACATATAAAGCACAAATGGCTCTATTTCCTGTAGTAGTTTAAAGTTGTCTAAGGTTTTTCAACAGGTATATTGAGAAAGACAATGAGCATTTATGACAAATTGCTCTTTGTTTTCAGAGTGGAAGAAGCTTACAAGAGAATCCAGAATCCTGCCTGCATCATCGTGGATGCAAGCCCCTCTCCACAAGAAGTGCTGCAACAAGTGCAGCATTTAATTAGGAACAAATGTCACTTGTAAACAACCAGCTCCCTCCCTACCCGACGAGGCAAGAAGCAATGCAATCCCTCTGCACACCACTAGATGGTAGTGTAGTGTTACGATTCCACCCCCGTTCAACTAAAGCCACTGTAAGAGCCCCAGTCAGCTGAGCCTGTTGATTGAAAGGGAGGCTGGTGGCTAACTGCCAGCATATATTTCAGGGCTCCTATCTGGACATGTCACAACATATTCCCCTTTCCACAGAGCTTTAGTGATGACACGAGGGGGAAAGTTATTGCGGTGCCGTAGCTGGGTGTCAGCTCTCATACGCAGGGTCACAGCGTCCACTTTCCTCACTCTGACTTATTCCCAGTGAAACACAGGAACTCAGCTAAAGAGGTTTGAGAATTCATCAATCACTTCAATTAGATTTAAACACAAGAACTCATTGTTGGTCAGCTCGGTGTTCACTCCTTCAGGAGATGGAATCAAGGGACCTTATGGAGGTATTAAAAGCAATAGATCTGATACAGGCAATTTAAACTCTCTTTGATTTGTTGCTGTTGCTTTTGGACACAGAATCTGATCATTAATTAAGAGTGATATGTTAGGACAAAAGTGTACACTGTAACTCAGATTTCAGTTCCAGATTCCTTAAAGTCTGTTTATTGTACTAAAATAATCAGCTAAGAATAAATGGTAATGTAATACAAATCTTTTAAATATGTTACTCAGGTTTCACTTCATTTTAAACAAACAGTTCATGAAGGGAACACACTTGTCAAGTGTGGGGAAAAAATTAAAAACAAAAAAAAAGTAGTCCATATGCTATATTACAAGTCAAACAATATTATTTGTGTAACCAGACTGATGTTTCATTATTTTATTATTTTTATTTGTTATTATTTATTTATTTGTAATTAATTAACTAATCTTTTTCACTTGTCAAAACATGGCACAATGTGTTTACAAACTATTCATGAGATTTCTATGGAAACCTATTTTTGCTACAGAATCAAAACAATAATAAATAAATAAATAAATATCTTTATAATTTTTTTAGCTTATATCTTGCAATTCATACTTTTCCCTTGCAATTCTGGGAATAAAGCTGGGAATAAAGAATTGTATCTGGTAAAGAAAGGTCTGAATTATGAGATAAAAAGTCACAGTTACCTTGTATTTATTTATATATATATAATGTCTATATATGTCTACAGATAGATAGAGATATATATAGATGTAAGCTTGCGTAACTTGTGAGTCATAACTGTGAGATAAAAAGTCACAATTACCTTTTTAATAATTTTTTTTCTATTCCATGGCAGACGCTTTAGAGCAATTGCCAAAAAAAAAGAAAAAGGAAAAAAAAGAAAAGAAAAGAAATAAATAAATATAAAAAACCCACCAAAAAGTAGTCCATACAATAAAATGTATTCCATGTCAAACAATTAGTTTTTGTTTTTTGACTGATTTTATAATTTGAATAGTTTTTTTCATTTTTGTTTTAATCTGGTTTACAAACTATTTATGAGATTTATGAGCAAAACACCAATAAATAAATAAATAAATAAATAAATAAAACTTTTTGAAATTTTTTTTGTGTGTGAACAGACTGGTTTATTATTATTATTTTTTATTTAAAATGTTGTTTTTTTAATTATTAATATTTTTTTGTCTGAAAATGTCAAAATGCTTCACAATGCGTTTACAAACCATTTTGGAATCTTAACACAAACACTAATGAGATTTCAGAGCTTCGGTGGAGGGGAATATTATAAGTAAACATCAACCTAAATTTCAGTCTGAACACCAGAATTTGATAATGACCGAAAGAGTTTTAATTTTTGGATTATTCAACTAATCTTTTAATTATACATGTGATCTACAATAATCTACATTTAGCACACATGCACACCTTATGCATGCATGCAGGCACCCATCTGCCCTCATGTGCTAAGAATACCACACTTATCCTATAATTCATTTATACGGTGAACACTGCATTTACCCAGTGATAGCAAGATTAATTAAAGGTTTTAGTAATTATGAGCTCAGTGAGGATATGGGCCGGGAAAGACGGAGTGACCCGTCTCTCTCACACTGATGCCTCAGCAGTGTGGAGAAGAGAGTGAGGTATATTCATATGGCAATTAATGGAGTCCTGTAGCTCACTGTCAGACGGCTTTCCACACCACTGCGCAATTACACACTCCCCTTAGCCAATTACTGAATCTCTTGCTATAGACGCAATTATATGTTTATTTTTTAACACACTGCATATACCCCCATATATGCTCGGAGGTGGTTAATATTAATGCCTCATAGGCGTAAAAAGCCACATTTAAATGTGCGGCGTGAGAAATGTACTGGTCAGTGATTTTAATAAACGATTGAACTGGTTGCAGTTAAATTCCTGGGATTTTCTGCTTGGAGACTACAGTGGTCCCCTGTGGTCGGACTAGCCAGGTTGATCAATTTTCCATCTATCTGCTGTTGCTCTCAGTGGGAATATGCAGTGTTTAAGGATTATATGTTCAGTTGTTATGGACAGACACTCCTACAGTGCAGTCCTTGTGAACTAGGGAGGGGGTCAGACATGTGCTCTTAAAATACTCTGGGCGGCTTGTAAGTAGCTTGAGCAGTGCTTTATGTATCGTCATTCTTCACTGACTGTAATAAGTCTTTCTTGTGGTGTATTATCATAATTTGAAGCTATAGCACTATGTTTCTAAAAAAAAAAAGTATACTACTGTTCAAAAGTTTGAGGTCGGTAAGATCAGTAAAAGCCTCTTTTCTTATGACAAAAATACAGTAAAAACAGCAATATTGTGAAATAATATTATAATTTAAAAGAACAGTTTTATATTTGAATATATATTTCAAAAGTAATTTATTCTTATAATGGAAAAGCTGAATTTTTGGCAGCCATTACTCCAGACATGATCCTTGAGAAATCATTATAATATGCTAATTTGGTGAAAATGGTCGAAAACAGTTACATTTTGTTCTCCCAGGATTCTTTGAGGATATACATATGCTTTGTAACATTATAAATGTCTTTACTGTCACTTTTGATAAAATGTGTGCATCCTTGCCGAGTATAACTATTAATTAAAACAATTATTAAACTAAAATAAACATTTTTTTAACATTTAAAAAAAATTAAAATTAACTTAAAAATAAATCTTACTGAACCCATGATTTTTTAATGGGAGTATAGTTGTTAGTTAATAACAACAACAACAACAACAACAATAATAATAAATACATTTGCAACTGGATACAGTTGATTAAATGTCACAATTACAAAAATTAGGATCACTGTTTGCTCATCAACATATAAGTTAATAATTTCTGATGCTTTTAGATCTATGGATACAAACTACACTATATTGTAAACTGCTAATAAATCCACATTGTTTTTAACACACAAAGTAAGTTTATTTCAATGAACTTGATATACTATTCAACCTCATATATTCAAAACTATATCACAACCTGAATTTTTCATTCCAGTCTAAACTATTTATAGAAAAGACACTTATTTAACCAAATGCTTTAATCTAAAGTGATTTACAAATAAGGAGTGTAAAGAATCTTACAATAATCGGACATAAAAACAAAGCTGAATGCACTGAACCCTTTAAACAAACATTTGATCATATGTGCTTTTGAAATATGAAAAACCAGGTCAGAGTGCAGAAGGTCTGTGCAGAGGGGAAAGGTAAGCCACCATCCTCCCCAGCAGGCCCCACGAAATCTACATCGGCCACTTCAATATTTCATTAGCACAACAAAGAACAAGACAGAGAAAACCCTCTCTGCAATAATTAAAGATCCAGCAGGGATGGAGCCGCACAGCAGTCTGCGGTCCCCCCCGCCTAAGTAATAGATCAAATGAAAGCTGTCCCTATGAACATGAATAATGAGTGAAGTGTGCTGAGAGAGGTGGGGGTGGGCTGGAGTGGGATCTAGAGACCTGGCACTGACACCCTCCTTCTCTGGGCCCAGAGATGCTGCCAACTTCAGGGGGGTGAGGGGGGCGATAGAAGCCTATAGGACCCTATGGAAGAGATGGCGGGAGGAGGACCAGAGAGGCACTATATGTGTGTGTTCTGTGCTTCTGTAACACTAAATCTGCCAAATACACCAGATGATAAGCAGGTGATTTTAGATCAGCATTCAGATTACACAGTGACCTTCTGGGTGTTATGATGGGGATTATGATTTTGTGATTAGTAATGCTTTACAATAGAGTTGTATACATAACCATTTGCGCATAAAATGTGCATTAAATTCTATTTTTGCACATCTCAGTAAATTTATATACTCTTGTTCATTGTTTTTAATAATGCTACATTATTTAATTTAATAAAAATCAATTGGACTACTAATGATTCTAAAATGGTTTGTTTAATAGTTTGTGTTTTTGAGTTGGGAAGTCACTTTGGTTAGAACAAGATGGTGATGGATCTTTTTTTTTACAAAAGATTCAGAAGCCAAACTCTACTTCTACAAAGTGATGAATAAACAGTGTGCATCAGTTGTATTTTTTGCTTTTTTATGTTTTTATTTAGTTTATGATAGTGATATTGAATAGACCCTTTTCACATTTCCAGGGTTCACAGAAGCGGAAGTCTTCATAGTTGGGTAAACTTCTAGAGTGGTGGGCAGAAACTACAACAAACATATTTATTTATTTATTTTTGGGATTCTCATAGCACATATAGCATACGAAAAAAAAATCCATGATAGCATTTCTATTACTTTCCAAAAGAGGAAAAAAAATATTGAGAGATTGATTATGTTGACCAAACGCAAGAAATATGTTAAATTTGTGGTGCCTCTGTCAGCTTTTGTGTTAGAAAATCTCATGCAGCGACGTTAAAGGGATAGTTCAACCAAAAATGAAAATTTTGTCAACATTTACTAATCCTTCCCTTGTTTCTGTATGAGTTTATTTCTTCCACTGAAAACAAAAGAAAATATTTTGAAGAATGTTGGTAACTAAACAGTTGATGTTAGCCATTGACTTCTATAGTATTTTTTTTCTATACTTGGGAAGTCGACATCTAATGTCAAAATGCAAAATGCGTTTTTGGGTGAACTATATATCTTTAACTAGTTTTATTTTTTTAAACAAAATTAAAAATTATTATTATTTTTTTAAAACTAATTAGTTTTAAGTATAGTGTTATAAAATACACATTAAGTATTCTGTTGTAATTGTACAATGTTGTTGTATTTTGTACATGCAACTTTTTAGTGAGATTTATTGTTAGCAAATATTATTTAATTAATTTCAACAAATTGCTGCTAAACCCAACTTCCAACTCTGAAACTCAAGACTTAAAGCGGCAGTCCGTAAGTTTTGCCTCTTTGATGCCATCTCTGTTAGAAACCTGCAATAGCAGTTATTTGCAGAATTATCTTCTTTATGTGGGTTGTGCATCGGCACAGCTCCTCAGCGCAGATGAATGTAATGTTTTGAGTTTATGTGTGGCTGTCAGTCAACCCACCAGTGTAAATATTCACTGTACTTTGGAATTACAGATACAAAGTCTTGGAAGTATGTCCAAAATAAGAAGTTTCACTGGAAAATGTCATCTGAACAAGTAAGTAACATGTCTGCCACATTTGTTCTGACCAACTAAAAAAAAAGTTTTACAATAAATCCCGCAACCAATGATAATGAAATCTAACGATCGCAAGGCTGGCTCAGATTATGCCAAAACATG